TAGAATTGATGAGGGAAAAAGAGTGAGTGGTGCACTTAGGAGTCTGGGGAGACAAAGAACTTTGTCCTTGGAGGCAAAGAGGGGAATGTATGAGAGTATAGTTTTACCAACGCTCTTATATGGGTGTGAAGCGTGGGTGATGAATGTTGCAGCGAGGAGAAGGCTGGAGGCAATGGAGATGTCATGTCTGAGGGCAATGTGTGGTGTGAATATAATGCAGAGAATTCGTAGTTGGAAGTTAGGAGGAGGTGCGGGATTACCAAAACTGTTGTCCAGAGGGCTGAGGAAGGGTTGTTGAGGTGGTTCGGACATGTAGAGAGAATGGAGCGAAACAGAATGACTTCAAGAGTGTATCAGTCTGTAGTGGAAGGAAGGGGGTAGGGGTCGGCCTAGGAAGGGTTGGGAGGAGGGGGTAAAGGAGGTTTTGTGTGCGGGGGGCTTGGACTTCCAGCAGGCATGCGTGAGCGTGTTTGATAGGAGTGAATGGAGACAAATGGTTTTTAATACTTGACGTGCTGTTGGAGTGTGAGCAAAGTAACATTTATGAAGGGATTCAGGGAAACCGGCAGGCCGGACTTGAGTCCTGGAGATGGGAAGTACAGTGCCTGCACTCTGAAGGAGGGGTGTTAATGTTGCAGTTTAAAAACTGTAGTGTAAAGCACCCTTCTGGCAAAACAGTGATGGAGTGAATGATGGTGAAAGTTTTTCTTTTTCGGGCCACCCTGCCTTGGTGGGAATCGGCCAGTGTGATAATAAAATAAAAATATATATAATGTTATATTATTATATATATATATGTATATATATATATATATATATATATATATATATATATATATGTATATATATATATATATGTATATATATATATATGTATATATATATATATATATATATGTATATATATATATATATATATATATGTATTATATATATATATATATATATGTATATATATATATATATAATATTATTTTATTATTTATTATCACACCGGCTCGATTCCCACCAAGGCAGGGTGGCCCGAAAAAGAAAAACTTTCACCATCATTCACTCCATCACTGTCTTGCCAGAAGGGTGCTTTACACTACAGTTTTTAAACTGCAACATTAACACCCATCCTTCAGAGTGCAGGCACTGTACTTCCCATCTCCAGGACTCAAGTCCGGCCTGCCGGTTTCCCTGAATCCCTTCATAAATGTTACTTTGCTCACACTCCAACAGCACGTCAAGTATTAAAAAACCATTTGTCTCCATTCACTCCTATCAAACACGCTCACGCATGCCTGCTGGAAGTCCAAGCCCCTCGCACACAAACCTCCTTTACCCCCTCCCTCCAACCCTTCCTAGGCCGACCCCTACCCCGCCTTCCTTCCACTACAGACTGATACACTCTTGAAGTCATTCTGTTTCGCTCCATTCTCTCTACATGTCCGAACCACCTCAACAACCCTTCCTCAGCCCTCTGGACAACAGTTTTGGTAATCCGCACCTCCTCTAACTTCCAAACTACGAATTCTCTGCATTATATTCACACCACACATTGCCCTCAGACATGACATCTCCACTGCTCCAGCCTTCTCCTCGCTGCAACATTCATCACCCACGCTTCACACCCATATAAGAGCGTTGGTAAAACTATACTCTCATACATTCCCCTCTTTGCCTCCAAGGACAAAGTTCTTTGTCTCCACAGACTCCTAAGTGCACCACTCACTCTTTTTCCCTCATCAATTCTATGATTCACCTCATCTTTCATAGACCCATCCGCTGACACGTCCACTCCCAAATATCTGAATACGTTCACCTCCTCCATACTCTCTCCCTCCAATCTGATATTCAATCTTTCATCACCTAATCTTTTTGTTATCCTCATAACCTTACTCTTTCCTGTATTCACCTTTAATTTTCTTCTTTTGCACACCCTACCAAATTCATCCACCAATCTCTGCAACTTCTCTTCAGAATCTCCCAAGAGCACAGTGTCATCAGCAAAGAGCAGCTGTGACAACTCCCACTTTGTGTGTGATTCTTTATCTTTTAACTCCACGCCTCTTGCCAAGACCCTCGCATTTACTTCTCTTACAACCCCATCTATAAATATATTAAACAACCACGGTGACATCACACATCCTTGTCTAAGGCCTACTTTTACTGGGAAAAAATTTCCCTCTTTCCTACATACTCTAACTTGAGCCTCACTATCCTCGTAAAAACTCTTCACTGCTTTCAGTAACCTACCTCCTACACCATACACTTGCAACATCTGCCACATTGCCCCCCTATCCACCCTGTCATACGCCTTTTCCAATCCATAAATGCCACAAAGACCTCTTTAGCCTTATCTAAATACTGTTCACTTATATGTTTCACTGTAAACACCTGGTCCACACACCCCCTACCTTTCCTAAAGCCTCCTTGTTCATCTGCTATCCTATTCTCCGTCTTACTCTTAATTCTTTCAATTATAACTCTACCATACACTTTACCAGGTACACTCAACAGACTTATCCCCCTATAATTTTTGCACTCTCTTTTATCCCCTTTGCCTTTATACAAAGGAACTATGCATGCTCTCTGCCAATCCCTAGGTACCTTACCCTCTTCCATACATTTATTAAATAATTGCACCAACCACTCCAAAACTATATCCCCACCTGCTTTTAACATTTCTATCTTTATCCCATCAATCCCGGCTGCCTTACCCCCTTTCATTTTACCTACTGCCTCACGAACTTCCCCCACACTCACAACTGGCTCTTCCTCACTCCTACAAGTGTTATTCCTCCTTGCCCTATACACGAAATCACAGCTTCCCATATCTTCATCAACATTTAACAATTCCTCAAAATATTCCTTCCATCTTCCCAATACCTCTAACTCTCCATTTAATAACTCTCCTCTCCTATTTTTAACTGACCAAATCCATTTGTTCTCTAGGCTTTCTTAACTTGTTAATCTCACTCCAAAACTTTTTCTTATTTTCAACAAAATTTGTTGATAACATCTCACCCACTCTCTCATTTGCTCTCTTTTTACATTGCTTCACCACTCTCTTAACTTCTCTCTTTTTCTCCATATACTCTTCCTCCTTGCATCACTTCTACTTTGTAAAAAACTTCTCATATGCTAACTTTTTCTCCCTTACTACTCTCTTTACATCATCATTCCACCAATCGCTCCTCTTCCCTCCTGCACCCACTTTCCTGTAACCACAAACTTCTGCTGAACACTCTAACACTACATTTTTAAACCTACCCCATACCTCTTCGACCCCATTGCCTATGCTCTCATTAGCCCATCTATCCTCCAATAGCTGTTTATATCTTACCCTAACTGCCTCCTCTTTTAGTTTATAAACCTTTACTCTCTCTTCCCTGATGCTTCTATTCTCCTTGTATCCCATCTACCTTTTACTCTCAGTGTAGCTACAACTAGAAAGTGATCTGATATATCTGTGGCCCCTCTATAAACATGTACATCCTGAAGTCTACTCAACAGTCTTTTATCTACCAATACATAATCCAACAAACTACTGTCATTTCGCCTACATCATATCGTGTATACTTATTTATCCTCTTTTTCTTAAAATATGTATTACCTATAACTAAACCCTTTCTATACAAAGTTCAATCAAAGAGCTCCCATTATCATTTACACCTGGCACCCAAACTTACCTACCACACCCTCTCTAAAAGTTTCTCCTACTTTAGCATTCAAGTCCCTACCACAATTACTCTCTCACTTGGTTCAAAGGCTCCTATACATTCACTTAACATCTCCCAAAATCTCTCTCTCTCCTCTGCATTCCTCTCTTCTCCAGGTGCATACACGCTTATTATGACCCACTTCTCGCATCCAACCTTTACTTTAATCCACATAATTCTTGAATTTACACATTCATATTCTCTTTTCTCCTTCCATAACTGATCATTTAACATTACTGCTACCCCTTCCTTTGCTCTAACTCTCTCAGATACTCCAGATTTAATCCCATTTATTTCCCCCACTGAAACTCTCCTACCCCCTTCAGCTTTGTTTCGCTTAGGGCCAGGACATCCAACTTCTTCTCATTCATAACATCAGCAATCATCTGTTTCTTGTCATCCGCACTACATCCACGCACATTTAAGCAACCCAGTTTTATAAAGTTTTTCTTCTTCTCTTTTTTAGTAATTGTATACAGGAGAAGGGGTTACTAGCCCATTGCTCCCGGCATTTTAGTCGCCTCATACGACACGCATGGCTTACGGAGGAAAGATTCTTTTCCACTTCCCCATGGACAATAGAAGAAATAAAAAGAACAAGAGCTATTTAGAAAAAGGAGAAAAACCTAGATGTATGTATATATATATATGCATGTGCGTGTCTATGAAGTGTGACCAAAGTGTAAGTAGGAGTAGCAAGATATCCCTGTTATCTTAGCGTGTTTATGAGACAGAAAAAGAAACCAGCAATCCTACCATCATGCAAAACAGTTACAGGTTTTTGTTTCACAGTCATCTGGCAGGACGGTAGTACTTCCCTGGGTGGTTGCTGTCTACCAACCTACTACCTAAATATATATATATATATATATATATATATATATATATATATATATATATATATAATATATATATATATATATATATATATATATATATAATATATATATATATATATATATATATATATACATACATAATGTATATATATATATATATATATATATATATATATGCATATATATATGTATATATATAAAGGAGGGGTTTGGGATATTGGCAGTTTGGAGGGATATGTTGTGTATCTCTATACGTATATGCTTCTAAACTGTTATATTCTGAGCACCTCTGCAAAAGCAGTGATAATGTGCGAGTGTGGTGAAAGTGTTGAATGATGATGAAAGTATTTTCTTTTTGGGGATTTTCTTTCTTTTTTTTTGGGTCACCCTGCCTCGGTGGGAGACGACCGACTTGTTGAAAAAAAAAAAAATATATATATATATATATTTTCAGGGAATAATGAAGATGATGATCAAGCATGAAAATGGAATTAAACCTGGAGTAATGATCCCCATCCCTCAATACCCACTTTACTCTGCAACTATAGCAGAGTATGATCTCCACCAGGTACGTTCTGCATGCGTTTGTCATATTATGTACATATAGTATAAGGAAAGCTAATGTATCGAAAAATAAAGCCATGGATTATTTTACGAAATAAAAATGCAAAATAATTCTGCACCTTAATGCTACATATGAAAACATTCTTGACAGTTTCTTATATTCACAGGTAAATATATTTTAATATTGTTATAAGACTTAAGGATGTTTTATACAATATAACCCATATTAGGCCCAACTGGTAATTAGCAGAAAGGTACATAATTATATTGATAGAATATAAGCAATACAGTACAGTGTACATATTTAAAATGACTCATGTGAACTAAATAAATAAAGGAATCTGTTTTTACTCCTACAGTATTAACCCTTTGACTGTTTTGGTCGTATATATACGTCTTACGAGGTACCGTGTTTGACTTACATATACTCATATTCTAGCGGCTTCAAATCAAGCAGGAGAAAGGTGGTAGGCCCACATGTGAGAGAATGGGTCTGTGCGGTCGGTGTGCACCATATAAAAAAAATCCTGGAGCATGCGGTGCATAATAAGAAAAAAAAACTCCGATAGTTTTTTTTTTAATTAAAATGCAGACTTTGTGATCTATTTTCGTATAGTATTTATGGTTCGTATAGTATTTATGGTATTCTTGGTCTCATTTGATAGAATGGAAAACCTATTATAGAAATAGAGGTGATTTTGATTCGTTTTTCTATAAAAAGAACCTGGAAATGGAGCTCAAAGTAGGGGAAATGTTTGATTTTTGCCGATGTTCAAAAGTAAACAAATGATATCATTGTCCAATAAATGTCCAACTAGCCATTCTAATATGCAGTCATGGATGGGTTGACATTATTTGTACAATTATTACAGTATTGCAGTAGTCTGCATAACAGTAAATCTTCTATTGTTTGTTTGAATAAAAATTCATAATAGAAAGCAAGAGTAATATCAGAGGGGCCTGGAGATGTGACTGATGAACAAAGAAAATGTTATTTTAGAGCCAGGAATGTCTGCATTGTTCATTCTGGACCTTATTTTGAAATTGTCATATTTTTTAATTTTCGTGAGATTGGTCAAATTGCAAATTTCTGACCACATTATTGGGGAGTTGAAATCGGTAAATGGGCAGTTTCTTGTACTCAGTCGATAGAAAAAACGAAGTTCTAAAGAAATAGTTATGCGTTTGGTCGACTGGAACAATGGAATTAGCGGAAAATAGGGCTCAAAGTGGGCAAAATCACCGATTTGTAAATATTGCTGAGGTTGCTAACTTCGCGAGAGCGTAATTCCATCAGTTTTCCATTAAATTTCATTTTTTTGGGTGTCATTACAATCAGGAAAAGATTCTCTTTTTTTTTTTTTTTTTTTTTTTTTTTTTTTTTTTGAAATTTTGCAACAGCAGGAGACACCGCAGGATTGGGGGTTGCGACAGTCAAAGGGTTAATAAGAGGTAGAGGGAAGGTAAATGGAATATACAGTAATAATAGATTACAAAGATAAATGTACATACCAGTATGCATGTTTCACAAAATCGTAATGACGCAATTGCAAACAAACCATACCATGGGTGGGGTTAGAACCCGTGATGAGAGAGTCTCAAAACTCCAGACCGTCGCGTTAGCCACTGGGCCAGCCAGCCACAATAAGATTCATCCAACTAGGTATAGTTATACACCATATTAAGGTTAGCATAGGCACCACTGTGACCACAAATGCAAGTTTTTACAGACGAATCTCCAGCTAGCTCAAGTCCCCTCAAAGCCGTCAGCATGACTCACGAAATCATAATGACACGATTGCAAACAATTGTGTATAAATATACCTGGTTGGATGAATATTATTGTGGCTAACTGGCCCAGTGGCTAATGTGACAGTCTGGAGTTTTGAGACTGATCATGGGTTCTAACCCCGCCCGTGGTGTGTTTTTTTTTTTCAGTATGCATGTTTTTTTTATTTATTTTCTGTGAAGCATTAAGGAAAGGTATAAGAAAAAATGTTTGCAATATCAGTAGGATGTAGAGAAATCTAGTCTTGTCTTCCTGTCAGTTAAGTATTTGCTAAAGAGCAGCATATAGCAGGAGATAATACAGTAATTCATGATTTAAAAAAAAAAATGCAGTACAGTACTGTATTGAAGTGGTAGGTTGAAGTTTATGGCAGAAGATTAATCTTTTTAAACTTTCATATATCCCTGGTAGAGGGGATTAGTTCTATTAAATCCCACCTCACTACTAAATAAAGATGTCAGTAAAAGTACTGTATTTATTGTACAGTGGACCCCCGCATAGCGACTTTAATCCGTGCAAGAGGGCTCATTGTTATGCGAAATGATCGGTATGCGAATGAATTTTCCCCATAAGAAATAATGGAAATCAAATTAATCCGTGCAAGACACCCAAAAGTATGAAAAAAAAAATTTTACCACATGAAATATACATTTTCCTACACACAAAGAGAAGGATACATGCACAATAGTAGAGTAGTACATGAATATATATTGTGCATGTACTACTCTACTAAATGAAGAATAAATGACACTTACCTTTATTGAAGATGCAGCAATGACTGATGAGACACTGTGTCCTGGGAGTGCCTTTTCCTCCTGAGTACTGTAGGTCCTGTTTGGCATTTTCTTCCAGAACAGGCCTTATCACACTGTGTATGCCACTACAATTCTTAAATCTCTCAAACCAACCTTTGCTGGCTTTAAATTCACCAATATGAGCACTAGTTCCAGGCATTTTTCCCTGTTCACCTGGGTGTTAGTCGACTGGTGTGGGTTGCATCCTGGGAGACAAGATTAAGGACCCAATGGAAATAAGTTAGACAGTCTTCGATGACACTGACTTTTTTGGGTTATCCTGGGTGGCAAATCCTCTGGGGTTGTTTCTTGGTATTCTCAATAAGCCACACTAACAACGGTGCTACAGCAGCAGCAGCAGCAGCTGACAGTGCTACAGCAGCAGCAGCAGCTGACAGTGCTACAGCAGCAGCAGCAGCTGACAGTGCTACAGCAGCAGCAGACGATGCTACAGCAGCAGCAGACGGTACTACAGCAGCAGCTGACGGTGGTACAGCAGCAGCAGCAGCTGACAGTGCTACAGCAGCAGCAGACGATGCTACAGCAGCAGCAGACGGTACTACAGCAGCAGCTGACGGTGGTACAGCAGCAGCAGCAGCTGACAGTGCAGCAGCAGCTGACAGTGCAGCAGCAGCAGCAGACGATGCTACAGCAGCAGCAGACGGTACTACAGCAGCAGCTGACGGTGGTACAGCAGCAGCAGCAGCACTGACAGTGCTACAGCAGCAGCAGACGATGCTCAGCAGCAGCAGACGGTACTACAGCAGCAGCTGACGGTGGTACAGCAGCAGCAGCAGCAGCTGACAGTGCAGCAGCAGCAGCAGCAGCAGCAGCAGCTGACGGTGGTACAGCAGCAGCAGCAGCTGTACCACCAATAGTAGCGATGGTTGATTGGGGTTTATTATACAACCTGGCCAGCTCGGAGACACGCACTCCACTTTCATACTTATCAATGATCTTTTTCTTCATCTCTATAGTAATTCTCACCCTTATTGCTGTAGGGTTGGCACTAGAAGCTTTCTTGGGGCCCATGGTCACTTATTTTGCAGATAAAATCACCAAAAACACTGTAATAATACGAAATGTTCCGATTGTATGCTTGGATGTTACCGCGGAGGCTGGCTGGTAAACAATGCCACCGGCGGCACATGTGAGGCTGGCTAAGGGCGCACATTGGACGCGTCTCGGACGAAGAGCGGTGAGCGGGTTTTTGAGTGGTATGCGAGGCAAAATTTTTGCGATAAAAGCGAGCGGTATGCGGATTGAACGTTATGTGATGCGTACGGTATGCGGGGGTCCACTGTACTTTATAGAACACAATCTCTTTCCCCTTTCTTCAGCTCAAATATGTAATGATTAAGTGATAATACAACATTACCTTGAATATCCTCAGATTGGTTACTACTTAAATGAGTCGACCAACTGGGGGCTGGACATTTCAGAGTTGGAGCGTGCTTATAATGAAGCCAAAGAAGTGAGCTATCCGAAAGTATTGGTTGTTATTAACCCTGGAAACCCAACAGGTCAGTTACAACTTAAATTTATTTCTGAATTTATTCATTAAATATAATGCATTGCATTTATAGTGTGCTTTGCTGACACACTACAAAATACCATACATTACATTTAATATAATGGTATATACAGTGGTACCTCGAGTTACGAACTTAATTCGTTCCAGAAGGCTGTTTGAGTGCCGATACCGAACTAATTTGTTCCCATAAGGAATAATGTAAATTAGATAAGTCCGTTTCAGACCCCCAAAAATACACTTTCATAATTGTTCAAGTTGGGAGCTGTTCGAAACTCGAAGTACCACTGTACCATTAAATACAGTTTATTAATATTTTTTTTTTTTAATGAACCGGCCATATCCCACCGAGGCAGGATGAACTAAAAAGAAAAACAAAAGTTTTTCTTTTTATATTTAGTAATATATATAGGAGAAGGGGTTGCTAGTCCCTTACTCCTGGCATTTTAATCGTCTCCTACGACATGTCTGGCTTACAGAGGAAGAATTTTTTTTCCTCTTCCCCACGGTAATAAAAGGAAATTAAGAACTGTTAAGAGAAGAAAAACCAGCTAGTTGTGTAAATATATATGCGTGTATATGCATGTGTAGTGTGACCTAAGTGTAAGTAGAAGTAGCTAGATATACATACCCATTAACCCACATGTTTATGAGAGAAAAAAAGACACCAACAATCCTGCCATCATGTAAAACAGTTATGTGTTTCCATTTCACACTCACTTGGCAGGACAGTAGTACCTTCTTGGGTGGTTGCTGTCTACCAACCTAGTTCTTAGGTTAAATAATGTTATTTAACAAAATAAATATTTTAGTTAAAATTAGCTTAGGGCTTTAATGGGGAAGTGCTATTGAGAAAAGAGGTTGCAGAGCTTGGTAAGAGGAGTTTAAATAGTAATTGTTCAGTGGTCAGTCGTCACGTGAGGTCACAGACCCTGAGCTGCTTGGGGATTAGCGTGGACGGTTACAAAGCATGGCTTGCTTCTACAGTGTTTTAAAAGCTGAGGTTGGAGAGTTGAAGGAGGAGGTCTTGCTTCTCCAGGAGGAGATTAGGAGGCTGAAGGTCCACCTCAATGGGCCTGGGAGAGAGTGTGAGGTGGTTGGAGATGTGGGGAATGAGGCTTCTAGCAGTGAGGTGCAGTCTGTCTCTCACTGTGAGGAGGCTGTAGGTGGGGTGGTAGCAACGGCTACCAGCAGTGAGGTGCAGCCCAGCACCTGCTACAAGTGGCGAGTTGTTCACAGTAATGGGAGGCGCATCAGAGTAAGGAAGTTAAGAGTGCAGATCTGAAGGTAGGAAATCGCTTCTCTGTTCTCCAGGATGAATGTACTTCAGTGGCCAGTGAAGGTAAGGGTACTACTGCCCCTGCTAATGAAGGTAAGCGCATTCTTGTGGTTGGTGACTCTCAGGTAAGATATGTTGATCGTGCTTTTTTGTAATAGGAATAAGAAGATGAGAGATAGAGTGTGCTTCCCTGGAGCTGGTGTTGGGGACATTGTCAACAGACTGGATAATATCATGTCAGGTAATGGGAACAAGCCATTATCTGTCTCAGTGCTGGTGGAAATGATATTGGGAAGGGTAGGAGAGAAGAGCTGCTAGATAAGTACAGGTCAGCTATAGATTTCATTAAGTCTAAGGGAGGGATCCCAATCATATGTAGCATCTTGCCTAGAAGGGGAGTAGGAAATGAATGGTTTGTCTAGGGCAATTGGTGTAAATTGCTGGCTAGACAGATACTGCAAGGAACTTGCAATCCCATTCATTGACAACTGGAACAACTTTTATGGCAAACATGATATGTATGCAAGGGATGGGGTTCATCTCTTGGGGCAGGGGTGGTAGCACTTGCAGACTCATTGAGAAGGCCATTGGTGAAATGCCTATGATTTAAACTGATGGAAGATAGAGGTATGGGTGTGTGTGGGAAACAAGCAGGTTGCAACACTAGGGTTGGAAACAGTAAATGTATAAAAGGCCTTCAGCATGAAGTTATAAATAAAGACAATAGATACAGGTCAGCAAACAAAGGGGGACAGCAGAGGCAGCAAGGGACTAGCTCCTTAAGGTTTACTATACTAATAGCAGGAGTGTTAGAAATAAGATAGATGAGCTAAGATTAATTGCAAGTGCAGGAAACATAGATATTATTGCTATAACAGAGACCTGGCTCAATCTGAAAGATAGAGAGATGCCCTCTGAATGTCACATACAAGGCTATAAATTATTCCACAATGACAGGGTCAACAGGAAAGGTTGGTGGAGTAGCGATGTATGTCAGAGACAATTTAAATTGTTGTGTTAGACAAGTATATTAAATTAGAAGCGTCAGCCACTGAATCTGTTTGGTTACAGCTTCTCGAGGGCCGAGAAAAACTAATTTTGGGTGTGATTTACAGGGCCCCAAATCTTGATAGGGAGTGCAGTAAACTTCTATGGGACGAAATTCGTAAGGCATCTACATACGAAAATGTTGTGCTAATGGGAGATTTTCAACTATAGACAGATTGACTGGAGCAATTTGACAGGAAATTTAGAGTCGGGTGACTTTCTTGATACGATCCAGGATTGTTTTTTAAAACAGTTTGTTGACAGAGCCAACTAGGGGAAATACCTCCTGACTTGGTTCTTGCCAGTAGGGAAACACTAATTAATAATCTTGAGGTTAATGATGAGCTTGGGGAGAGTGATCACAAATCACTCAGTTTTAACATATCATGGAATTCCCCTAATAATGGCAATCAAGTCTCCGTCCCTGACTTTCGCTTGGCTGATTTCATAGGACTGAAAAAATTACTTAGGTGGGCTGAACTGGAATGACCTGACTAGGGGTCAGGTAGGTGGTGATGGTTGCCGATATGATGCTTTCCAGGCATAGTTCTAGCTGCTCAGTCAAATTATGTTCCAAATAGGGAAATCAGATCAAACAAAAATGATCCTAAATGGATGAACAATAGATTAAAATATCTGATTGGTCAAAGAGAGGCATATATAGGCAAATCAAAAGAGGAGAGGGGCAATTAAGAAATCGATATATTCAGTTAAAGAGAGAAATAAAAAAGGGAATTAGAAAAGCAAATAGAGATTATGAGGTTAAAGTTGCAAGAGAATCGAAGACTAACCCAAAAGGATTCTTTCAGGTATACAGAAGTAAGATCAGGACAAGATAGGCCCACTCAAAAGTTCCTCGGGTCAGCTCACTGACAGTGATAAGGAAATGTGTAGAATTTTTAACACATACTTCCTCTCAGTTTTTACACAGGAGGATACCAGCGATATTCCAGTAATGATAAATTATGTAGAAACAGGACGATAATAAACTGTGCACTATTAGGGTCACAAGTGACATGGTCCTTAGGCAAATAGATAAATTAAAACCTAACAAATCCCCAGGCCCTGATGAACTGTATGCAAGGGTTCTAAAGGAATGTAAAGAGGAGTTAGCACACCTTTGGCTAATCTTTTCAACATATCACTACAAACTGGCATGGTGCCAGATAAGTGGAAAATGGCAAATGTGATACTATTTTCAAAACAGGTGACAGGTCCTTAGCTTCGAACTATAGACCAATAAGCCTAACCTCCATAGTGGGAAAATTTATGGAATCAATATAATTGCCGAGGCAGTTCGTAGCCACCTTGAAAGCATAAATTAATCAACGAATCTCAGCATGGTTTACAAAGGGGCGTTCCTGCCTTACGAATTTATTAACTTTTTTCACTAAGGTATTTGAGGAGGTAGATCATGGTAATGAATATGATATTGTGTATATGGACTTCAGTAAGGCTTTTGACAGGGTCCCACATCAGAGACTATTGAGGAAAATTAAAGCACATGGAATAGGAGGAGAAATTTTTTCCTGGATAGAGGCATGGTTGACAAATAGGCAGCAGAGAGTTTTGCATAAATGGGGAGAAATCAGAGTGGGGAAGCGTCACGAGCGGTGTTCACAGGGGTCAGTGTTGGGCCCCCTGCTGTTCACAATCTACATAAACGACATAGATGAGGGCATAAAGAGCGACATCGGCAAGTTTGCCGATGACACCAAAATAGGCCGTCGAATTCATTCTGACGAGGACATTTCGAGCACTCAGGAGGATTTGAATAGACTGATGCAGTGGTCGGAGAAGTGGCAGATGCAGTTTAATATAGACAAATGCAAAGTTTAAATGTTGGACAGGACAATAACCATGCCACATATAAACTAAATAATGTAGATCTTAATATTACGGATTGCGAAAAAGATTTAGGAGTTCTGGTTAGCAGTAATCTGAAACCAAGACAACAGTGCATAAGTGTTCGCAATAAAGCTAATAGAATCTTGGCTTCATATCAAGAAGCATAAATAATAGGAGTCCTCAGGTTGTTCTTCAACTCTATACATCCTTGGTTAGGCCTCATTTAGATTATGCTGCACAGTTTTGGTCACCGTATTACAGAATGGATATAAATTCTCTGGAAAATGTACAAAGGAGGATGACAAAGATGATCCCATGTATCAGAAACCTTCCCTATGAGGATAGACTAAGGGCCCTGAAACTGCACTCTCTAGAAAGACGTAGAATTAGGGGGGATATGATTGAGGTTTATAAGTGGAAGACAGGAATAAATAAAGGGGATGTAAATAGTGTGCTGAAAATATCTAGCCTAGACAGGACTCGCAGCAGCAATGGTTTTAAGTTGGAAAAATTCAGATTCAGGAGGGATATAGGAAAGTACTGGTTTGGTAATAGAGTTGTGGATGAGTGGAACAAACTCCCAAGTACCGTTATAGAGGCCAGAACGTTGTGTAGCTTTAAAAATAGGTTGGATAAATACATGAGTAGATGTGGGTGGGTGTGAGTTGGACCTGATAGCTTGTGCTAACAGGTCGGTTGCCGTGTTCCTCCCTTAAGTCAATGTGACCTGACCTGACTAGGTTGGGTGCATTGGCTTAAGCCGGTAGGGACTTGGACCTGCCTCGCATGGGCCAGTAGGCCTTCTGCAGTGTTCCTTCGTTCTTATGTTCTTATGTTCTTATGAATGCATAAAAAAGAATAAAGAAATGTGGTATGTAGAAATATAGAGAACGAAAGATTCAGGATCACTATTGCAAGGAGGAATGTGGAAGAAGTGGATGTACAACATTCAGATACTTGAGAGTGGAACCACAATTGTGGAAACTATTAAAATAAGCCGCCAAATTTCAACATGCCCTCCCGTCCTTCATTGTGTATTATTTGTATACAAACCATTTGCATGAAAAATATCTTATAAGATACATGGGTGTATGTTCCTTGAGGGGAGGCTATGCAGAGCCCATCAGTGTAGATCCTCATTTCCTGGCTGCCTTTCCAGACCTTTAAGTTTAAACAGTAATAATAATGAAATGGTGTGATCACTTAGAAAGGATGGAACATAGTAGGTTGGCTAACAGTGTGTATAAATTTACGGTAAAATTCCTTGCTCACATTCCAACATTATATTTTATAATTTTTTATTGCTTTCTGGATTACTTGTAGATGCATTGATTTTTTGTACAGAGTAGTATATGGTTGTTTGATGCATATGTGGTCTTAATTTTTTGAGCCCCTCCAAAAAAAATTTGGTTATAAGGTGTGAATTTTTTTTTCTCACCTACAGTGGACCCCCGCTTTATGATCACCTCCCAATGCAACCAATTATGTAAGTGTATTTATGTAAGTGCGTTTGTACGTGTATGTTTGGGGGTCTGAAATGGACTAATCTAATTCACAATATTCCTTATGGGAACAAATTCGTTCAGTACTGGCACCTGAACATACTTCTGGAATGAAATAATATCGTAAACCGGGGGTCCACTGTATTTGTAACTTTACAAAAAACAAAGTGGCTCTGGTCTCAGCCATTTCGTATTTTATAATAATACTATACTGTATGTATACAGTATTATCTGTAATGTATTCTATATTTGTTTCCACCCCTGTCTCCTGTCTCCATCCCTTATTTATTCTCATTTTTTTTCACTTCTATTCTTACAGGAACAGTATAACTTATTGATTTGGCTTTACAGGCAATGTACTGAGCAAAGAGAATATTAAAGGGATCATTAAATTTGCCTACGAGAAGAAGCTCTTCCTTTTTGCTGATGAGGTGAGAACAAGTGTAACAAAATGTATGGTGTACCAGATTTTTTGTCTTCTAATTAAAAATGTGTTATTTATTGTTCTGAGTGTAAGAATTGGATATTTTTCAAAGAAAATAACAGTAATGTTGAATATATAAGTTTTTATTTTATTTATCACACTGGCCGATTCCCACCAAGGCAGGGTGGCCCGAAAAAGAAAAACTTTCACCATCATTCACTCCATCACTGTCTTGCCAGAAGGGTGCTTTACACTACAGTTTTTAAACTGCAACATTAACACCCCTCCTTCAGAGTGCAGGCACTGTACTTCCCATCTCCAGGACTCAAGTCCGGCCTGCCGGTTTCCCTGAACCCCTTCATAAATGTTACTTTGCTCACACTCCAACAGCACGTCAAGTATTAAAAACCATTTGTCTCCATTCACTCCTATCAAAACAGCTCACGCATGCCTGCTGGAAGTCCAAGCCCCTCGCACACAAAACCTCCTTAACCCCCTCCCTCCAACCTTTCCTAGGCCGACCCTACCCCGCCTTCCTTCCACTACAGACTGATACAGTCTTGAAGTCATTCTGTTTCGCTCCATTCTCTCTACATGTCCGAACCACCTCAACAACCCTTCCTCAGCCCTCTGGACAACAGTTTTGGTAATCCCGCACCTCCTCCTAACTTCCAAACTACGAATTCTCTGCATTATATTCACACCACACATTGCCCTCAGACATGACATCTCCACTGCCTCCAGCCTTCTTCTCGCTGCAACATTCATCACCCATGCTTCACACCCATATAAGAGCGTTGGTAAAACTATACTCTCATACATTCCCCTCTTTGCCTCCAAGGACAAAGTTCTTTGTCTCCACAGACTCCTAAGTGCACCACTCACTCTTTTCCCCACATCAATTCTATGATTCACCTCATCTTTCATAGACCCATCCGCTGACAGTCCACTCCAAAATATCTGAATACATTCACCTCCTCCATACTCTCTCCTCCAATCTGATATTCAATCTTTCATCACCTAATCTTTTTGTTATTCTCATAACCTTACTCTTTCCTGTATTCACCTTTAACTTTCTTCCCGTGCACACCCTACCAAATTCATCCACCAATCTCTGCAACTTCTCTTCAGAATCTCCCAAGAGCACAGTGTCATCAGCAAAGAGCAGCGGTGACAACTCCCACTTTGTGTGTGTTCTTTATTTTTAAAACCCCCGCCTTTCCCAAGCCCCCGGGATTTATTCTTTTAAAAAAACCCCCCATTGAAAAAATATTTAAAAACCAGGGTTTGACATCCACCCCCTTTTTAAAGGGGCCTACTTTTAGGGGAAAATTTAATTTCCCCCCTTTCTACATACTCTAACTTGAGCCCCCACTTTTTCCTGAAAAAAACCTCTTCACTGCTTTCAGTAACCTACCTCCTACACCTTAAAATTGCAACATTTTTCCCCCATTCCCCCCCTTTTCCCAAACCCGGGTTCATAGCCTTTTCCAAATCCTAAATGCCAAAAAAACCTTTTTCCCTTTTATTTTAAGTACTGTTCACTTATATTTTTTCATGTAAACCCCTGGCCCAAACACCCCCTACCTTTCCAAAAAGCCTCCTTGTTATCTGCTTTTCCTATTCTCTGTCTTATCTTAATTCTTTCAATAAAAAACTCTACCCTACTTTACCCGGTATATAGCAGGGCTTATCCCCTTATAATTGTTGGGACTCTCTTTTTTTCCCCTTTGCCTTTATACAAAAGGGAAATAAGCAGCTCTTGCCAAACCCTAGGTAAACCCTTTCCCTCTTCCATACATTTATTAAATAATTTTCACCAACCACTCCAAAAATATTCCCCACCTGTTTTTTAAAATTTCATTTATTTCCCTCAATCCCGGCTGCCTTACCCCCTTTTATTTTACCCACTGCCTCAGAAAATTCCCCCACCTCCCCAATGGCTTTCCTCCTCCTAAAAAATGGTTTTTTCCTCCCTTTTTTTTTTTTTTCACAGGGTTTTTACCCAAAGGTAAGGATCCCTAGCTTTATTGACAGCTATATTACAGGTTAAGGATTCCTAACTTTATTGGCAAGCTAAGAGCTGTTACCTACATCAGCTCATTTGAAAGCATTTTTTTGTCAGTTAAAAATAGGAGAGGAGAGTTATTAAATGGAGAGTTAGAGGTTATTGGAAGATGGAGGGAAAATATTTTGAGGAATTGTTAAATTTTTGATGAAGATAGGGAAGCTTTTGATTTTGTGTATAGGGCAAGGAGGAAATAACATTTTGTAGGAGTGAGGAAGACCCAGTTGTGAGTGTGGGGGAAGTTCGTGAGGCAGTAGGTAAAATGAAAGGGGGGTAAGGCCAGCCGGGATTGATGGGATAAAGATAGAAATGTTTAAAAGCAGGTGGGGATATGGTTGGTGCTTTTATTTAATAAATTATGGAAGAGGGTAAGGTACCTAGGGATTGGCAGAGGGGCATGCATAGTTCCTTTGTATAAAGGCAAAGGGGTTTAAAAGAGAGTGAAAAAAATTATAGGGGGATAATCTGTTGAGTATACCGGGTAAAAGTGTATGGTAGAGTTAAAATTTGAAAGAATTAAGAGTAAGACGGAGAATAGGATAGCAGATGAACAAGGGGCTTTAGGAAGGCAGGGGGTGTGTGGACCAGGTGTTTACAGTGAAACATATAAGTGAACAGTATTTAGATAAGGCTAAAGAGGTCTTTGTTGCATTTATGGATTTGGAAAAGGGTATGACAGGGGGGAAATAGGGGGGCAATGTGGCAGATGTTGCAAGTGTAGGGTTTGTAAGAGGTAGGTTACTGAAAGCAGTGAAGAGTTTTTACGAGGATAGTGAGGCTCAAGTTAGAGTATGTAGGAAAGAGGGAATTTTTTTCCCAGTAAAAGTAGGCCTTAGACAAGGATGTGTGATGTCACCGTGGTTGTTTAATATATTTTTTAGATGGGGTTGTAAGAGAAGTAAATGTGAGGGTCTTGGCAAGAGGTTGGAGTTAAAAGATAAAGAATCACACACAAAGTGGGAGTTGTCACAGCTGCTCTTTGCTGATGACACTGTGCTCTTGGGAGATTCTGAAGAGAAGTTGCAGAGATTGGTGGATGAATTTGGTAGGGTGTGCAAAAGAAGAAATTAAAGGTGGATACGGGAAAGAGTAAGGTTATGAGGATAACAAAAAGATTAGGTGATGAAAGATTGAATATCAGATTGGAGGGAGAGAGTATGGAGGGAGGTGAACGTATTCAGATATTTGGGAGTGGACGTGTCAGCGGATGGGTCCTATGAAAGATGAGGTGAATCATAGAATTGATGAGGGAAAAAGAGTGAGTGGTGCACTTAGGAGTCTGTGGAGACAAAGAACTTTGTCCTTGGAGGCAAAGGGGGGAATGTATGAGAGTATAGTTTTACCAACGTCTTATATGGGTGTGAAGCTTTGGGTGATGAATGTTGCAGCGAGGAGAAGGCTGGAGGCAGTGGAGATGTCATGTCTGAGGGCAATGTGTGGTGTAAAAATTTTAATGCAGAGAATTCGTAGTTTGGAAGTTAGGAGGAGGTGCGGGATTCCCAAAAACTGTTGTCCAGAGGGCTGAGAAGGGTTATTGGGGTTTGGTTCGGACATGTAGAGAGAATGGAGCGAAACAGAATGACTTCAAGAGTGTATCATCTGTAGTGGAAGGAAGGCGGGGTTTGGGTCGGCCTAGGAAAGGTTGGAGGGAGGGGGTAAAGGAGGTTTTGTGTGCGAGGGGGTTGGACTTCCAGCAGGCATGTGTGAGCGTGTTTGATAGGAGTGAATGGAGACAAATGGTTTTTAATACTTGACGTGCTGTTGGAGTGTGAGCAAAGTAACATTTATGAAGGGATTCAGGGAAACCGGCAAGCCGGACTTGAGTCCTGGAGATGGGAAGTACAGTGCCTGCACTCTGAAGGAGGGGTGTTAATGTTGCAGTTTAAAAACTGTAGTGTAAAGCACCCTTCTGGCAAGACAGTGATGGAGTGAATGATGGTGAAAGTTTTTCTTTTTCGGGCCACCCTGCCTTGGTGGGAATCGGCCAGTGTGATAATAAAAAATAATAAAACATACAAGTAGGGAACAGGATGAAGTTGGAGCCATCTGTGGGCCAGCATTTTCATTTTATCAACTGACTTTATCCCCGTTGACATCATTATGCTTGTACGAATGTGTTCCATACTCGAGTCATCCTGGGTATGTATGATCTCGGATGGAGTGATGTTCTGGAGAAGGGTACAGCCAGAGTGAAGTTGCTGCTTTCTGCCCGTCTTGTGGCATAAAAGCTTGTTTCACGCTGTCCTCGAAGTGGATCCAAGTGTGGTATTTTGACAATATTGGCCTTGTACATAACAGTAAGGCCACCCACATCCCTCCTATGTTGAAGGCTCTGCTGAAATAACAGATCTATCCAGGATGGGTCCAAAGGGGAGAGATGAGACGTCTTGCTCTGTTCTCTACTCTGTCAAGCAGTCCCCAGATGAGAGGGGGGGGCAGGCAAACCCAAAAAAGTGGAGCATACTCAAGGTGTGAGCGTACTTGTGCCTCGTACAGGAACTTGCAACCCCTACTGTCAAGCAGATGCGAGATACGGCGAAGTGCTGTAAGCTTCCTGGCTGCCTTTTTTTGAAGATTTACAAATGGTTCTTCATGGTTAGTTTGGAGTCAGATTTCAAACCCCCAAAGGGTATCAACTTCTTCTCCAGGTGCCAACTCCTCCCATTCATCCTTACTACTGCACCAGCATTACCATCTGGTGCCTAGAGACGATCTCATTTACGTTTAATCAGGGGGCAGATGTTACTTGCCATCTATTTCCCCAAGATGATATAGCTCTCAGCTGGTGATTGATGTAGCTTAGAGCAGCTGGCATTTTTCTCTTGGATAAGTGAATGTCAGTGTACAAATCGTCTGCATATGCATGTAATTCTGGGATGAGATGAAGAAGGTCGTTGAAGTAGACATTCCATAAAAAATGGACCCAGCACGCTTCCTTGTGGAACGCTTGCCCCAATAGGATGCCTTGCTGATTCCGTTCCATTGAGGACTACACTTAGAGATCTACCATGAAGGTAATCACTGAGGAGACATAGCATAGAGCCTGCAATTCCCAGTGCTTGAAGTTTTGCTAAGAGGCCCTGGTGCCACACCCGGTCGAAAGCGCCAGCAATGTCCAGTGCTACCACACAGCTGACTTTGGATTCATCCAGTGACTGGTGCCACTTAGTGGAGAGGTTTAACAACAGATCATCAGCAGAGTAACCTTTCCTGAAGCCATATTGATGATCACAATGTAGTGAGTGGTAGTCAAAAAAATCTGTCATTTGTCTTGAGATTATTGTCTCAAGGAACTTACCAGTGATTGACAGGAGTGACACTGGTCTGTAGTTGCTGATTTCTGCTCTGCTCTTCTTTTTGTGAACAGGGATTACATTTGCCTCTTTCCACAGGCTTCCCTATCTTCATCAACATTTAACAATTCCTCAAAATATTCCCTCCATCTTCCCAATACCTCTAACTCTCCATTTAATAACTCGCCTCTCCTATTTTTAACTGACAAATCCATTTGTTCTCTAGGCTTTCTTAACTTGTTAATCTCACTCCAAAACTTTTTCTTATTTTCAACAAAATTTGCTGATAACATCTCACCCACTCTCTCATTTGCTCTCTTTTTACATTGCTTCACCACTCTCTTAATCTCTCTTTTTCTCCATTATACTCTTCCCTCCTTGCATCACTTCAACTTTGTAAAAACTTCTCATATGCTAACTTTTTCTCCCTTACTACTCTCTTCACATCATCATTCACCAATTGCTCCTCTTCCCTCCCGCACCCACTTTCCTGTAACCACAAACTTCTGCTGAACACTCTAACACTACATTTTTAAACCTACCCCATACCTCTTCGACCCCATTGCCTATGCTCTCATTAGCCCATCTATCCTCCAATAGCTGTTTATATCTTACCCTAACTGCCTCCTCTTTTAGGTTATAAACCTTCACCTCTCTCTTCCCTGATGCTTCTATTCTCCTTGTATCCCATCTACCTTTTACTCTCAGTGTAGCTACAACTAGAAAGTGATCTGATATATCTGTGGCCCCTCTATAAACATATTTTTTTATTATTATCACACTGGCCGATTCCCACCAAGGCAGGGTGGCCCGAAAAAGAAAAACTTTCACCATCATTCACTCCATCACTGTCTTGCCAGAAGGGTGCTTTACACTACAGTTTTTAAACTGCAACATTAACACCCCTCCTTCAGAGTGCAGGCACTGTACTTCCCATCTCCAGGACTCAAGTCTGGCCTGCCGGTTTCCCTGAATCCCTTCATAAATGTTACTTTGCTCACACTCCAACAGCACGTCAAGTATTAAAACCATTGTCTCCACTCCTATCAAACACACTCACGCATGCCTGCTGGAAGTCCAAGCCCCTTGCACACAAAACCTCCTTTACCCCCTCCCTCCAACCTTTCCTAGGCCGACCCCTACTCCGCCTTCCTTCCACTACAGACTGATACACTCTTGAAGTCATCTGTTTCGCTCCATTCTCTCTACATGTCCGAACCACCTCAACAACCCTTCCTCAGCCCTATGGACAACAGTTTTGGTAATCCCGCACCTCCTCCTAACTTCCAAACTACGAATTCTCTGCATTATATTCACACCACACATTGCCCTCAGACATGACATCTCCACTGCCTCCAGCCTTCTCCTCGCTGCAACATTCATCACCCATGCTTCACACCCATATAAGAGCGTTGTAAAACTATACTCTCATACATTCCCCTCTTTGCCTCCAAGGACAAAGTTCTTTGTCTCCACAGACTCCTAAGTGCACCACTCACTCTTTTTTTTCCCTCATCAATTCTATGATTCACCTCATCTTTCATAGACCCATCTGCTGACACGTCCACTCCCAAATATCTGAATACGTTCACCTCCTCCATACTCTCTCCCTCCAATCTGATATTCAATCTTTCATCACCTAATCTTTTTGTTATCCTCATAACCTTACTCTTTCCTGTATTCACCTTTAATTTTCTTCTTTTGCACACCCTACCAAATTCATCCACCAATCTCTGCAACTTCTCTTCAGAATCTCCCAAGAGCACAGTGTCATCAGCAAAGAGCAGCTGTGACAACTCCCACTTTGTGTGTGATTCTTTATCTTTTAACTCCACGCCTCTTGCCAAGACCCTCGCATTTACTTCTCTTACAACCCCATCTGTAAATATATTAAACAACCACGGTGACATCACCGTACATCCTGAAGTCTACTCAACAGTCTTTTATCTACCAATACATAATCCAACAAACTACTGTCATTTCGCCCTACATCATATCTTGTATACTTATTTATCCTCTTTTTCTTAAAATATGTATTACCTATAACTAAACCCCTTTCTATACAAAGTTCAATCAAAGGGCTCCCATTATCATTTACACCTGGCACCCCAAACTTACCTACCACACCCTCTCTAAAAGTTTCTCCTACTTTAGCATTCATGTCCCCTAACACAATCACTCTCTCACTTGGTTCAAAGGCTCCTATACATTCACTTAACATCTCCCAAAATCTCTCTCTCTCCTCTGCATTCCTCTCTTCTCCAGGTGCATACACGCTTATTATAACCCACTTCTCGCATCCAACCTTTACTTTAATCCATATAATTCTTGAATTTACACATTCATATTCTCTTTTCTCCTTCCATAACTGATCATTCAACATTACTGCTACCCCTTCCTTTGCTCTAACTCTCTCAGATACTCCAGATTTAATCCCATTTATTTCCCCCCACTGAAACTCCCCTTCCCCTTTCAGCTTTGTTTCGCTTAGGGCCAGGACATCCAACTTCTTTTCATTCATAACATCAGCAATCATCTGTTTCTTGTCATCCGCACTTCATCGACGCACATTTAAGCATCCCAGTTTTATCAAGTTTTTCTTCTTCTCTTTTTTAGTAAATGTCTACAGGAGAAGGGGTTACTAGCCCATTGCTCCCGGCATTTTAGTTGCCTCATACGACACGCATGGCTTACGGAGGAAAGATTCTTTTCCACTTCCCCATGGACAATAGAAGAAATAAAGAAGAACAAGAGCTATTTAGAAAAAGGAGAAAAACCTAGATGTATGTATATATATATATGCATGTGCGTGTCTGTGAAGTGTGACCAAAGTGTAAGTAGGAGTAGCACGATATCCCTGTTATCTAGCGTGTTTATGAGACAGAAAAAGAAACCAGCAATCCTACCATCATGCAAAACAGTTACAGGTTTCTGTTTCACAGTCATCTGTCATATATAAGTACATACCAAATAAAAAAAGTACATACCAAATAAAAAAGTACAGTATGTATTGTATATTTGTGTATATATTTTGTGTATATATTTTTGAAGAAGTGAAAGTTTTCAGATATTTGGGAGTTGACGTGTCAGCAGATGGGTTTGTGAAGGATGAGGTTAATCATAGAATTGATGAAGAAAAAAACGCGAGTGGTGTGTTGAGGTATATGTGGAGACAAAAAATGTTATCTATGGAGGCAAAGAAGGGAATGTATGAAAGTATAGTAGTACCAACACTCTTATATGGGTGTGAAGCTTGGGTTGTAAATGCTGCAGCGAGGAGGTGGTTGGAGGCAGTGGAGATGTCCTGTCTAACGGCAATGTGTGGTGTAAATATTATGCAGAAACTTCGGAGTGTGGAAATTAGAAGGTGTGGAGCTAATAAAAGTATTAGTCAGAGGGCTGAAGAGTGGTTGCTGAGGTGGTTTGGTCATTTAGAGAGAATGGATCAAAGTAGAATGACATGGAGAGTATAAATCTGTATGGGAAGGAAGGCGGGGTAGGGGTAGTCCTTGAAAAGGTTGGAGGGAGGGGGTAAAGGAGGTTTTGTGGGCGAGGGACTTGGACTTCCAGCAAGCATGCCTGAGCGTGTTAGATAGGAATGAATGGAGACGAATGGTATTTGGGACCTGATGAGGTGTTGGAGTGTGAGCAGGGTAATATTTAGTGAAGGGATTCAGGGAAACCGGTTATTTTTATATAGCTGGACTTGAGTCCTGGAAATGGGAAGTACAATGCCTGCACTTTAAAGGAGGGGTTTAGGATATTGGCAGTTTGGAGGGATATGTTGTGTATCTTTATACGTATATGCTTCTAAACTGTTGTATTCTGTGCAAAAACAGTGATTATGTGTGAGTGAGGTGAAAGTGTTGAATGATGATGAAAGTATTTTCTTTTTAGGGATTTTCTTTCTTTTTGGGTCACCCTGCCTCGGTGGGAGACGGCCGACTTGTTAAAAAAAAAAAATTGCAAAATTTTATTTTGTTTACCTAGGTGTACTTTACCTCAGATTGATAATTTAATATTTATTTCAGGTATACCAAGACAATGTTTATGCCAAAGGCTGTAAATTCCACTCGTTCAAGAAATTAATAATGGAAATGGGTGCTCCATATAACAAAATGGAACTTGCTTCCTTCATGTCCTGCTCCAAAGGTACAGAGAACTTCTCAAATCATTAAAGAGTAACTTCTGTTTTTAATTATCATCCTCTCAGTAGTTTATTAAACAATCTTTATGGTGAATAAAAGTGCACATATCAGGTACACAAGGGTTTACTAACTGGTACTTTTCTGATACAGTATTTCCACATAGTATGGTAACGTGTCTTTGTGTACTAAATCTCATTCCATTCCTAGTTGTAGTTCTGGAAATACAGTCCTGTAACTGATGTCAGTTTTTATTAATTTGTTAATTTTCACAGTACTGTATCATACTTTTCTAAATACCTTATCTACATACCCCCTGTACTTTAACCCTTTCACTTTCTCACAGGTAAATCTATTTTATTGTGTCAGTGTCGCTTGTATAGATCTAAACATAAATCACAGTGCCCTCAAATTTGCTGTGAGCAGGAGAGAATGGTCTGTGCAGTGGGTGTGCACAGTATAAAAAAAATTTCTGCCTTGTGCATTGCATGATGGGAACAGTTTATCTGATTTTTTTAATACAATGGCCATTCACAAAGGTTGCGTGACCCCAAAAAAGGAGAAAAAACTTTCACCATCATTTACTCAATCACTGTCTTCAAAGAAGCATGCTGACATCACAGCTTAGATGACCTTCTGACCTGCAACATCCCACTCCTCTTTCAGAGTGCAGGCATTGTACTTCTTGCTTCCAGGACTCGAGTCTGGCTAGCTCCTTGAAGAAAAGTGGTTAAGAACCAGAGAAAAGTGTTGATGAGATCAAGGGGGATATGATGTGGATTTAAGAACCCATTATTATTGTGTTCAGCATAGGTCTGTGCTAATACAAAGGTGTATGCAGGAGGAAAGAATGAACGCTGGAGTGATGAAGTAAAAATGGTAGTAAGATAGAAAAATTAAGCACATGAAAAGGTCTTACAATGTAAAAATTTTTTTATTACAATAAGCTGCAGTTTTGGAGACAGGTGAGAGAACCTATGGAGCAAATTGACTTGGCAGTTAAGAATGAAACTGGTGAGATGCTTACTAGGGAAGTCGAGGTATTGGTGAGATGGAGAGAATGTTTTTAGAAGTTCAGTATGTGTGATGAAATAGTGGTGGTGATTTCATGCACTGGGCAGGAAGGAACAGGTTCTTAAGAGGGAGGAACTGTCTCAGGAAGGAATGGAAAGAGGGTAGTTTTAAGTGGTAGGAACTTGAGCATTCAGCAGGCATGGATGATGATGATAGATTAGAGTGAATAGACACTCATGGTTTTGGGGATTTGATATGCTGTCGGAGTGCAAGCAAGGCAATAACAGAAGGATTGAGAAAAGCTGGTTAGTGGGACTTTTGAGTTCTGGAGGTGGGAAATACAGTTCTTGTACTCTGGAGGATGTATGGGGATGTTGAATATATGCAGTGACAAGTTTTGTCAAACTAGCTGCTCCTTTTCCCCACTCTGCATCCCCTGTGTATTATTAGTAGACTAACATTTTGCATGAAAAATACCTTGCAGGATACATGGGTGAATGTGGCTTGAGGGGAGGCTATGCAGAGCTCATCAATGTAGATCCTCAAGTAAAGGCATTGTACCTAAAAAGTATCTCTGCAAAGCTATGCCCAACAACCCTTGGTCAGGTAAGTCTGTAGTAAAGTGTTGATAGTCAAATAGACATTTGATATTTTCTGCAGTTAGGAGATTGGAGTGTTAGTCTCTGTTACCCATACAGACACTTAACTGTAATTTGTACAGCCACTCCACCTTATTTAGTTGGGAATTGAACATAACTGAAAGAAATCTCACATTTTTGCATTGAGTCATTTTTATGAACTTATATTTTTCAGGCTGTGATGGAGTGTGTTGTGAACCCACCACAAGAGGAAGAGCCTTCATATAACCAATTCATGGAGGAAAAACATGCTGTCCTGTCATCTCTTGCTAAGCGTGCTGAGATGGTTGTGGAAACCTTCAATTCAGTTCCAGGAATGTCATGCAATATTGTGCAAGGAGCTATGTATGCCTTCCCCCAGGTAAAATTGCTTATATCTTTGGAATATTTATTAAACTCATAATTTGTAGACCTTTACTGGCAGGATTAGGTGAAATGCCCAGGCAAAAATTATGTAAAAAACCACTCCTCTTTGTATGCAACGATGAGTGTGAATAGTATGATATTCTCAATATTCTCGAGTTGAGCAGAAGCTGCTTGAATGCTTCATAGTTTGTGTTTTATTTTCCACTATTATTTCTAAGATAGATTGTGCTGAATGGGGCCATTCTTTGTATCATCTACATCCTGATCAGATTTTTCCCTAAAGACCCCTTCCAAGAGGAGCAGCTTTGAGTAGAATCTAGCAGGAAATTCTGATATTTTCTACTGCTAGAAACTTTTAAGAAGCTCTTGAAACAGCCAAAAATGTACATTTGAAGTGGTTGCTACAGGGCCTGTGCAAGAGTACAGTAGGGGGCCCCAACTTACGATGTTAACCCTTAAACTGTCCAAATGTAGATCTACGTTTACATGTGTAGTGCTCCAAAAGTAGATCTACTTTTTTTTTTACATATTTTCAAATATAAAAAAAAAGTAGATCAAAGTTTTTTTTACACGCTTTCAGATGTAAAAAAAAAAATTGTTTTCTTTTTACATACTTTCAAATGTTGAAAAAACATAGATCTATGTTTGGACAGTTTAAGGGTTAATGCATTCCTGAAAATTGCTTGTTACTCTGGTATTTAAAACATTGAACTTATTTTCATATAGACATCCATGTTATAATCAGAGATGCATTTCTCAGCCATAATCTTCTGTATCTGATTTCAGTTTTTTTTTTTTTTTTTTTTTTTTTTTTTTCTAATTAAATAAAATGCGAAGTATAGCACTCAGATGAGTCCTCTCTCCTGTTACATTTTCTCCCTCTTTCTCCTCTTTCTCCCTCTTTTTCCTTAATGCTGGTGTGCAGCTCTTGATGTAGGAAATTGGGTCTGTGCTCTAATTCCCTGAATTAAGCCTCAATGCCTTTCATCGCCCCCTTTCCCTGCACAGGCACTGTATAATCCCTCTGGGTTTAGCACTCCCTCATGATGATGATGATAATAATAATCTCCCTCTCCTCTCCATGCTAATATTCCTCTTTCACATTCACTTCCTCCTGTAGCAGGGAGTGAGGATGGTGGAGTATGGCAACAGCAAAAGCTAAGTCAATTCTCTCCCTCTCATCCATTTTATGACACAACACTTTAATTAGTCTCTCTTACATAAGCTCACTATCAAGTTGAGAGTATCAGGTAGTTAACTCTATTAATGTATACTTTTATAATTTTATATATTATTTTTAATAACACATTGGCTGTTTCCCACCGAGTCAGGGTGACGCGAAAAAGAAGAAAAACTTTCATCATTCATTCCATCACTGTCTTGCCAGAGGTGTGCCTACCCTACAGTTAAAAAACTGAAACAAATCTCCACACCTCTTTCAGAGTGCAAGCACTGTACTTCCCACCTGCAGGACTCGAGTCCGACTAACTGGTTTCCCTGAATCCCTTCATAAATGTTACTGTGGTCACACTCCAACATCACATCAAATCATGAAAACCATTTGTCTTCACTTACTCCAATCTAACACACTCACACATGCTTCCTGGAAGTCTAAGCCCTTCGCACACTAAGCCTGCTTTACTCTCCCCCCCCCCTCCACTTTTCCTAGGACGACCCCTACTCCGCCTTCCTTCCACTACAAATTAATGTACTTTCCAAGTCGTTCTATTTCGTTCCATTCTCTCTAAATGTCTGAACCACCTCAACAGCCCTTCCTCTACCCTCTGGATAATGCTTTTAGAAACCCCTCACCTCTTCCTAATCTCCAAGCTATGGATTCTGCTAGAAGCTAGCACCTTCCCGAAACTACTCAAGACGGCAAGGGTTACACCAATACATAAAGGTGGTGGCCCTACAGATTTAAACGACTATAGGCCAATATCAAACTTACCATTGCTATCCAAAATCTTTGAGAAACTCGTGCACAGGAGACTATATTCATTTATAACGTCACAAAACATACTCAACCCCTGCCAATTTGGATTCAGGAAAAATAAAACCACTAATGATGCAATTATAAAAATGCTAGATCTGCTTTACACAGCATTGGAAAATAAGGAATATCCACTAGGAATTTTTATTGGCCTAAGAAAAGCTTTTGACACAGTAGACCACGGCATCCTACTCCACAAACTTGACCATTATGGTAAAAGAGGCCATGTGCTTGCATATTTCAAATCTTACCTTACTAATAGGTATCAGTATGTCACCATTAAAGACACAGCATCAACAATACAGCCACTTGATACTGGAGTTCCGCAGGGAAGTATCTTTGGTCCCCTGCTCTTCCTCATATACATCAGTGATCTTCCAAACGTATCTCGACACCTGAACCCCATTCTCTTTGCTGACGAAACGACTTACGTCATCTCTCACCCTAATCTTGCAACCCTCAACACCATTGTTAATGAGGAGCTGATCAAAATATCGACTTGGATGACAGCCAATAAACTTACGCTTAATGTTGACAAAACCTACTACATTATGTTTGGTAGCAGAGCAGTAGATGCGCAAATTAACATTAAGATCGACAACACTCTAATTACCAGGCATAATGCGGGCAAATTCCTAGGCCTATACCTTGACAACAACCTGAACTTCAGCACCCATATCCAACACATAACCAAAAAAGTATCCAAAACGGTTGGGATCCTCTCCAAGATACGATACTACATGCCGCAAACTGCCCTTCTCACACTATACCATTCACTTATATATCCATACCTCACCTATGCTATCTGTGCTTGGGGTTCAACTGCAGCAATACACCTAAAGCCAATAATAACCCACCAAAAAGCCGCAGTAAGAATAATCACTAAATCCCATCCCTGGCAACACACCCCCCACTCTTCATAGATCTGAACTTATTCCCTGTTCAGTACATCCACACTTACTACTGTGCAATCTACATCTACAGGACCTTAAATTCCAATATTAACCTTGACCTAAAATGCTTTCTTGATAGTTGTGACAGAACCCACAGGCACAACACCAGACACAAACATCTCTTATGACATTCCCCGTGTCCGACTAAACCTTTACAAAAATTCAATGTATGTCAAAGGCCCTAAAATCTGGAACACCCTACCTGAAAGTTCCAAAACTGCAGACACATTCATCACCTTCAAAACTACCATCAGGAAACATCTTATCTCCCTGATACACCCTGTCAACGAATAATACGAATACCACCTGGTGGTTCACACGTACACTCACTCACCCATTTGACCATAAACAGAAATATCAATCTCAATCTCAAAATAATGAATCTTAACTAGTCATAAGTTGGCCTGTGATACTCCAATACTGAAACTATGTATAGTGCCAAAACAAAAGCATTCACATTGCTAAACTCACAACTAGTATTTAGTCACTTAGCCATAATACCAACTTATCTCATAATTTTGTAACATTTTAAACCTAAGATTTAATATAAGTCTGCCCGAAATGCCTAGCCATGCTAGGCGTTCTAGTGGTACACTCTGTAATTATTATTTTACTACATGTAAACCACACAATAACCAAATTCTGTAAACTCAGCATTGTAATACTTATAGAGAATAAAGTTTGAATTTGAATTTGAATTTGAATGCTTACACCGCCCATTGCCCTTAGACACGACATCTACATTGCCTCCAGCCTTCTTGTTGCAACATTCACCACCCATGCTAACACCCATATAAGAGTGTTGGTTCCATTATACTCTCATACCTTCCCCTCTTTGCTTCCATGGATAATGTTCTTTGTCTCCACAGATTCCTCAGTGCACCACTCGGCTTTTTTCCTTCATCATTTCTATGATTTGCCTCATCTTTCATGGACCCATCTGTTGACAAGTCTACTCCCAAATATCTAATTACAGTCACTTCTTTCATACTTTCCCCTCCAATCTGATATCCAATCTTAAATTACATAAATTACTTATCCTCATCACCTTGCTCTTTCATATGTTCACTTTAATTTCCTTCCTTTACATACCCTTCCAAACTCATCCACTAACCTCTACAACTTCTCATCAGAATCTCCCTAAAGCACAGTGTCATCAGTAAAGCAACTGTGACAAATCCCATTTTGTGTTAGATTTTTTCTCTTAATCCCACACCTCTTGCCAACACCCGAGCATTCACTTCTCTTACAACCCCATCTATAAATATATTTTTTTTTTTTTTCAACAAGTCGGCCGTCTCCCACCGAGGCAGGGTGACCCAAAACAGAAAGAAAATCCCCCAAAAAGAAAATACTTTCATCATCATTCAACACTTTCACCGCACTCACACATTATCACTGCTTTTGCAGAGGTGCTCAGAATACAACGGTTTAGAAGCATATACGTATAAAGATACACAACATATCCCTCCAAACTGCCAATATCCCAAACCCCTCCTTTAAAGTGCAGGCATTGTACTTCCCATTTCCAGGACTCAAGTCCGACTATATGAAAATAACCGGTTTCCCTGAATTATTATTATCAAACTGGCCGATTCCCACCAAGGCAGGGTGGCCTGAAAAAGAAAAACTTTCACCATCATTCACTCCATCACTGTCTTGCCAGAAGGGTGCTTTACACTACAGTTTTTAAACTGCAACATTAACACCCCTCCTTCAGAGTGCAGGCACTGTACTTCCCATCTCCAGGACTCAAGTCCGGCCTGCCGGTTTCCCTGAACCCCTTCATAAATGTTACTTTGCTCACACTCCAACAGCACGTCAAGTATTAAAAACCATTTGTCTCCATTCACTCCTATCAAACACGCTCACGCATGCCTGCTGGAAGTCCAGCCCCTCGCACACAAAACCTCCTTAACCCCCTCCCTCCAACCTTTCCTAGGCCGACCCCTACCCTGCCTTCCTTCCACTACAGACTGATACACTCTTGAAGTTATTCTGTTTCGCTCCATTCTCTCCACATGTTCCGAACCACCTCAAACAACCCTTCCTCAGCCCTCTGGACAACAGTTTTGGTAATCCCGCACCTCCTCCTAACTTCCAAAC